TCCCCATGTAGAGCACATTGCAGTATTCCAGCCTTTTCCCCATGTAGAGCACATTGCAGTATTCCAATACTTTTCCAATTTCCTGGCCACTAAACCTTCTTGCATTTCTCTCCCCTGTCCTATTTAATTTTTCTGCTTTTTCATTATCCAACAGGCTTTCCCACTTCTCTTTCCTTTTTCTTCTGCTTCCTTCAGTTGTTTCTTTTTTCAGTTTTTATCTTACCAATGAAAATCAGTGCCCTAGGCCATCTATTGTCAGCTATGTGAATTGCAGCACCAAGGGAGATTTTGCTACAATGATAAATATGGGAAAGGGATCTGTGTAGGTGTGATCATAGCACATATTATGTAATAAGTATTTTGGACAGATAAATCTCCTGCCTTTGTTTGGAGGCCTCTGTTCTGACCTAGGCTTCCTGATACAGTAAAAAGCACACTTAGTTTGCACCCATCTTTATCTTCCTTGACACACTGCCAAAGACTTAATTGGCAATCAGCTTGGCAAGGCCACATGGAACAGAGTCAAAACAGAGTTTCAGAAGGTAAACTGACCAGCATGAACTTCCTGCAAAGACTCATGTGCCTTTGCTCCTCTTTTATGTCCTATGAGAGGGGCCAATCACCTCTAAGCCTTACTCCCGAGTCATCACTTCTGTCTTAACTGTTCTTGCCTTCTGACAGCTTTACACATGGGCGCACTGGGAACAGGGGGAGCCTGTTTCTCTGCCTCACTGCTGTCCAATTCTGGAGGCAGCACATAACTCCCAGATGGTCCTGGCCCCCTCTCTGCCTCCGACGCAGAACCCTCATCTGAGCCTTCCCCAGACTCCAGGACTGGCCCATGTTCCTCCCCAACCTCCTCGCTGTCCCACTCTGCTGTCACCTCCAAAGACTATCAGCAGACAACAGCCTCCAATGAAGGAGAACTGTTACAGTGAGTCACACATATTACCTCTCATTGGAACTCCCATTGGAAGACTCAGGCTCAGCCATAGAAGTTCGTGGAGCAATTTTAAACCAATCACTTCCTTTTAGTTCAACCTATATCACAGGGTGGCTGTTGTGTGTATGAGTGAAAGAAGGAAGCACTATATATCCCACCTTAAGCTCCTGAACAAAAGGTAGGATATAAAACAAATACATGAATACATATCAGGGTTGTTTTGTGTGTGTTTTTCCATGGAACTAAATATACAATTTTGAATATTTGACATGCCCATAAAACTAAGTATAAGATAATACCAGCCATCCAATAACCATTTTATGACTAACTGTACAGGTAACTGTGTGATGGTAAAGCTTATAGCACTTTCACAAATTTCTGAATCTACAAACCTCCGCAAAAGCCTTTACCACTGAGTTATCTAATGACTCACTAAAGCTGCCCCACCTGACAGTCATCTAGTTTATATCTTAGAAAGTCTATTGTACAAAGGGTGTTCTTACATCCACATAACAAATCACGAAAGGATCCCAAACTCCAGGGATTCTGATTATTTCCCTGAGGCTGACTTTAGCCTGCTGGTACAAGCGTTGCATTTCCTGCTGAAGAGAAGTTTGTGTACAACTGTCTTCATCTGTGAAAGACAAGACATTCATCTCATAAATCTAATTTGAAACAGATAACATCATGATATTCATCCTTGATTTTCAAATCAATTTTTTAAAAATCCTCCAGGAAAAAAAAGCTTTAAAAAGAGATGCTATAATCAAGGAATATAGTAATTTAAATTGAACACACAAAGGAAAATGTCATATTTATAATACAAAGCTGCCATTTCAGATCTCCTGAATATTTGTTATAATAAAGAAGCCAAACAATAAAATGAATGGTGAGGGAGATTGATTTAAAAATCCATTTCATAGCTGGCAAATATTCCATCAATGCTTCTCCACAAATATATATATGGTTAAGTTATGATCAGTATCTCTTTCATGAAACCCAAAAGTAGCATCTCAAGTTCAGAGCCAAATATATCTATTCATCATTTGGAGATGGCAGGATGTTTCTTTGAAATATACAACTCAGATGTGTTTACCTTCTCCCACTACTATTATATGCGACAATGTAGAGTCCTTAGTTCCCTCTGAGCTTTATTGTTTGCTTACAGAAATTTTATTACCTAACTTGGTAACATCATAATGCTAGTATGGGGAGGGAATTGCTCTTTGTTTATATAGAGTAGCTTGCATTGCCAATGCAATGCAATGTGGGAGTTATTTTCCTTTTGGTAGTTCCTTGATCAGAGTATTGTTTTCTGCTTGATCTTTTGCCTGATGCTGATTCCTACAAATCTGAATATTGGCTGTGGGAAAGAATTTGTTCTGGTATTTTGATTTCCTTGGCTTTTTATTGTTTCTTCTGGATGTGTAACTGTGGTTTATCTCTTTGTATCCACTGATGGCTGATTTGTCCGAGTACTAAGCTTCTAGGAATTCACTAGCATTTTTAGACTTAAATTTGGTCTAGGATGCTCAGAGTTTCCCAGTTCTCAACTTAGTGTGTTAAAATATTATGGGTGAACTAAGCAACCAGAATTTCCCTACGTTTCCATTTTGTGTCTTTGCAAGATCACTAAGAGATTATGATTTTTCCTTACATTTTTCTTTGTAAAATTTTAGCTTGACAACTAAATTATGTCATCATTGTGTTTCTGACAGTCTTGATTATGACCACAAATTATAGTTAAATAGTATGATTATCCAAGGCCAATAAATCTGATAGAGCTTATCAGCAGAGTAAGATAATAGTAGACAATTGGGAAAGTCATTTGCTTTGAGTCCTCCAGATCATTTTTAAAAAAATGCAGTACAGGAACAACATATAGAGTAATCTTTAGCTTTCCCGTTGCTGAGGAAGATATCAAATGAATTCAAAATTTCTGCATGCACTAATTCCATGGAATTCTCTGAAACTTCCTTCCTAGTAAGCATGCCGGAGAACTCAGCCATAGATTTGTCTCACATTTCATATTTCATGAATGGGACAGAAAAATGCATGGACAACTGCAGGAGTTACTGCTGCATGTTACCACTGTAGCATCTACAGACACATACTCACCCAGCTCCAAAAGGTCCGTCTTCTTTTTTAACCACATATAATAGTCTATCAACCCCTTATAAGCTTGAACAAGCTTCAGCTCTTTTTCCTGAGCAACAGTTTCTTCTCCATATCGCCAACTTTCAGTCAAGATCAAGTTCTGATAGGCTTCGTCCACAAATCCGCTGCACAAAAGGTGGAAGGCATGCTCTAAAGAAATCTGTAATTTGAACTTTGTTTATTAAGTTGAACAGAAGAAGCAATTTTGGATGCAAATATGCATAAACAAAGCAGCAGTAAATTTTCCCAATAATTTCAGATAAGAGTTGTATCTTCAGAACTATTCTTTATTAATAACAATGGACCACTTTCAACTGGCGTTGCGTATGGGTATGCTAGATGGTGAGATGTATAAAAATGTTTATTATAGAAATAATCACACTTTTTCATATATATGAGTGATTTTTTCCAGGTTGTGAAACAATATACTTATGGTATTCAGTTAGAATCCATTATGGAACAACTGTTTTTAAAAACTTCCAAAGCCATAATTAAAACACAGTTCTGTATCATTAAAATTTGAAGCCATATGTTTTATTAGAAATATCAACCATGGAGTGCAATTTAAAAATCTATATTGAAGTTTTACAAATAACAGTATATTTTAATTTTAAATATAATTTTATAAAAGAAATTTTAGCAAGGTAGAATAATATAAATGTGAGAAAATAAAATAAGAAAACAGAATAGGGAGGAAGGGAGGGAGGGAGGATAAGGAAGGAATATAAAGATGTGACTTCTGACCATTTTAATAGTGGTTATAAATGTATTTATATTTGACCTCTTTAAGATTACATCATATTCTTAAAGGAATCAGTAAGAAGTCTCATAATAAAACATGTTTTCAATATTAAAATGTTGAATTAAAATTATTTTTACCCTGAACGTTTTTTCCTTACTTTTAAATATCTTTTGACACCTAAACTTTTCATCCGATCTGCAAAATAGTTGATCTCATCTATATTACTCCTGGGATGCTGCTGCAAGATTTCAGTTCCTATTCTCCAGATCTCCTATTCAGGAAGAAAATACAATCCAAGCAAGTCAAGCCATAGTACTAAAAGCAAAAGCATAAAATACTAATGCACCTTTAATTTATACAATTATTTCCAACAAAATCACTAACATGATGCCCATGAGCAGAGACATTCACAAGGGAGAAATCAAGAAAGTCAAAATGGCAGACTCAATGGTGTGGCTAAGGTGTCATCTTGATTTTCTTGACCAATGTCCCAACACATTTGCCTGTGAACATTATAGTTTCCATATTCAGTTTCCCATAAGCTGTGCCATCAGGTAAGCAGACAAAGATCTGGCATTCTACAAATCAAAACACCATTCCATATCAACTTTATTTACACAGAATACAGGACCTCGTTTAGATCCAACACATATTACATAAAGTAAAAAGGATAGGTAAGTGTAAGGTAGGTAGTATTAAGCAATTTGCTTAAATGTCCAGAAAAATGTGAAAGGTAAAATAGAGAATTGCAAGAAGCCTCCTGAAGGGCTAACAGGAGGGGAAGGCCAGCCAACAGGTTGCCTTATGTCAACTAAGTAAGTATTTCATGATTGGCTGCACTTTTGTCAACTTCTTTTGTGAACAGACAATCCCATTTTAACTTACTGTTACTCATTTTGTGGGAGCAATCACTATGTCCATTCAAATTTTCAAAGCTTCCCACAAACTAAAGGTTTATACCCCAAATTTATGAAAAAAATGCCCCATCTCATACATCTAAATGCATGAGACAATGCATAAATGGGACATTTTTATCCTGTTCTTAATTATATTATAAAGAGACACCTGCTAGAGAAATGATATATTTCCATTTATTTCAAAGTTATTGTGTTAATTAATTTACCTACCTCTTGAGATGGCACCCTTTTTTCTGAAGATGTATTTTCCAGTATTTCCAAGTAGCTTATCATTAATTCTGCAGCCCTCTGCCACTGACTTTGTAAGAGAGCATCTTGGATACAGCATAAACAATCCTCTTTCACCTTTTGGAATTCTGAAGATTTCACAGCCATATTTGCTTCAACCAACATAAGAAAATGTTGGTTATTTATTTTACAAATAATGCATACGTAAAGCATTTATGGAACTAAGTTAGCCATTCACAGAAAAAATGTGAATGTTATATTCATATCTGGAATGTGAACTCCCAAGAATATATTTTGCATTAATTTGGCATTATCTTATCTCAGAAATCATATCAGTATCCTGAAGTATCAAATTCATGGATTATCCTGGCATACATTATTATGTATCACATCAACTGAAAATCATTAAGAAATGAACTTTTTTTTCTCATGACTGCATAATCATCAACATAAACAATTCTTCCTACAAAGGAAATAAAATAAAAAGTAATATTTCTTATTGGAAGAATATTAAGAACATCTGGAAGACGTGCCCTGACTCCCAGGTGTTTTTTTTTAGTACAATTCAAGGTGCTGGTTATTATCTTTAAAGCTCCTGATCATTTTATTTATTTATTAAAAAGATTTATATGAACACCCAACTCAGTCACTTTGACTTTAGGAGACTTACAAAGCTAAGACCCCAAATGCAAAACACAATACATTTTTACCTTCCTGGCAACAACATTCAAACAAATCATTTGATGGGCTCCAAATCATTATGTGACTTCTAGTCCCACCCTATCCATGAAAGCCAGCTGTGGGACTCTGGGCCAATCACTCTCTCTCTGCTCAACCTTCCTCATAAGAGTTGTTGTGGGAAAATACGGGGAGGAAAGTATGTTGGATATGTTTGCTGTATTGAGTTATTTGTAAAAATAATAAAGATGAGATAAATAAATAAATAGATAAATTTTTTAAAATTATATCCTAAGTCTGGGTATAGAATTACAGGAAGAAACTATACATTTCCAACACATGCTTTTCAGTTACCAATCTGTAACCTGCTAAGTACCCTAAATCATCATCACATTAATAACAGTAATAGTAACTAGCAATTGTGTATCACTCAAATTCAACAAATGAATAAATAAAAATAATATGTACTATAGCAGAGCATGCTGGTAAGGGTTACCCAATTAAATTTGCTTTGCAAAAAGGGGGGAAAAGTATCAGGGCAACAGCTAGGTTAGAACCCATCTTTTTAATTGCTAGTTTTTCCAGAAATGAAGATTCTGTGTTATACTAATGTTCAATATACCATTCCTCAACTGCATTTCAAAATGGCACCCAAAAGATTTATTATGCAATTTTCTAGAAGAAAATAATTCGTTATAACAAGCTTATAGACTTTACAAGGTAAAGGTAACAACACTACAATGTACTGCAAGGTGATGAAGGCCTATATGGGGGAAGGGAAAAGAATGACCCTAGGATTTTGCTACTTTCCTTCATCGCAATTTCCATCACGTCAATAAAAACTTACTTGGGTGGTTAAAATGTTTTGGCAGTAAAGGCAAATAAATTCCTGGAACCACAGCATTGGTCACAGACTCATCCTCTGTTTCTTCTGTGGGTAGCCACCTTGTTTCTTGTCGCAGTTCTTCAACAAAGTTATCCATTTCTATAACTATATTTTTAAAGAAATAAAACAGAGAGAAAAAACATTGTTATAATCAGCTTTAAAGTAAAGTAGAAGAAAATCCATCAACTGTAGTGTAAAACGTACAAACAAAACATTCAAAATCTAATTATCTGCAAAAACAGGAAAGAGGAAAAACACATATTTTACATGTGTTTAACAGCCACACTAGTTGTATCCCTAAACTGTCTCCCAGGAATAGTTTTTTCATGAAATATACACATGAAATATACACTAGCAATTAAACATCAAGAAAAATACCACATATTTCAAATAAAGCAATATTAGGAAACCTAATTAACTAAGATGATGATAGCAAAACTATGTAGGACAATAGTTGGATTATATTAGTGGAACAGTCAGTAGTGATGACTTCATTAAAAAAAATTCAGTAAATCAGCAGTCCCCAACCTTTTCAACGTGGCAGCCCGATGGAGAGCGGAGAGGAGATGGTTATAATATAATATATATGGCAGGCAAGCGCAAATAGAGCTTTGTGTGCAAGTGCCTGCTGCTCACACAAGAGGAGCTTCGCACATGATGCCCACCACATCCACAATTGCGCGTTCGCCCACTTGCCTGCTGCTTGCACAGCCAGTTTCAACCAGGCTGCAGCAGCCCAGCAGGGAGCAAGGGGATGGTTGTGTGAGTGTCCGCCATTCACGCAAGTGGAGCTGCATGCACTTACCACCCAATCACACAGCCCAATTCTGAATAGGTCACGGCCTGACAGTGAGCCGCAGCCTGGAAGTTGGGGACCCCAACTGCAGTAAATGAGCAACAAACTTCAGCAAATGCCTGGGTCTGAAATCTTGGACCATTCTCAATAAGTCTTTTGAAGTTTCAATATCCCTTAAAGGGTGGATCAAAAAGAGAGACCTGCTACTGATTTCCTTAATGTATAGGATATGTTTATTCTTGATTTGTTCCTTTTGGAAATAGATTTACAATATAAACAGGAGACAAACCTGCTCTCAGTGATTCATGTAGTACTGACCTTGAAGCTTGAACATTACAATGGCCTTGAAAACATCCAGATTATACCCAGTACAATATATTAGCATGTCAGCCTGTTCAAGATCCTTCATTATTCATGTTAAATGAGTTTCATTAGCTATCAGAAATCATTCAAACACAATTGAGGGTAGTCATTATGGTGTAAAAAGTTTTATGTAGATTAGATGCAAGCTACCTGCGAGGCCATTAATTCATGGATAGACTACTCTGTGTTCTCAGATAATCAATGAACAACGTTTATGGATGAATTGGACATAAGCAACCAATCTGACTTTCTTTGTGGTAGGAACCATATTGTGGAATAAATTGACATTGGGATTGAAACAATCTCTCTCCTTGTAACAATTCAAGAACTTCAAAATATTTGTTTCCCCTGAGCTTTCAATATTACTGTATTCACTTTTGTGTGCTATTATTATTTTGTCATTTTATCATTTTGATCAAAGCATTGATCCTATGGAAATCACTGAGTATGTGTGTGTAAATAATTTTATGTACCTTTTTCTTATATCTTGTAACACTTCCACAGTTCTTAAGAAAGTAGATGGCATTTAAAATGTCTAAATAATTACAAAATTACAGAAAAGGCTGCCATTGACCAGAGAATGCTTCCCAAATAGAAGGTAATGTGACTGAAAGGAGTCAAGAGCCCACCTGGCTTCACGGAACCTGCAATTCGAAAGGCATAAATTTCAATATTAACTCAGAGATGCAAAGCAGGACTTCACTGGCCTTAACAGGACAGTTTTCTAAGCAACTGTTTTATAAAGACCGTGAAGAGTGTGTTTTACAACATCGCTTGCCTAACGATCAATGAATTCGTTGGTTTAAATCAGGGGTCGCCAAACTTGGCAACTTTAAGACTTGTGGACTTCAACTCCCAGAATGTACACACCTTGGTTAAGGTTGCTACCTTCTTTTTTATTGCTAATAGCCGATGAGAACACAACACCTGAGAAGTCTGAGATTGGCGCTACCTACCGGGATAGGAAGTTTCTTTCCTTCCCACCTGCCTTCATTCCGGTTCCGAAAATATGCGCGCTATAATCCACACGACGCCGCTTTTTTTTCACTTCCGATGCTTTGCCGCGGCGAACGCCATCTTTTCTGTGGGCACCACGAGACCGCTTGGCCCACGTGATACTCCCTGCCTTTCAAAGAAATATCGAATTCGTCTGCGCATGCCTGAATCCTTTCCCTTTCGTCCCTAATTGCTTTATTAACCTACGTTTCTTCCTCCCCTTGGAGTCCCTGAACGTGTGTTCCCCTTCCTCCCCTTGGAGTCCCTGAACGGCTCGTAAACTGAGCCTCGTTGAAGATAATACCGGTTCACTGTTTACGTATTTTAAGTGGTTCTGATGGTCTCTCGGTACATAACAATTGGAACCTAGATAAATTGAAGAAAGAGCAAGGTCTAATAGTTGGACAAATAGTTTGCTCTTTTCCCAGTTTTTCCTTAATCTGTCTTTCACTGGTGTGCAGTACTGTCTTATTTTATATTATGAACTGTAGTTGTGCAATGTTGCATTAAAATATTTACATCTAGGCTTAATATAAGCGCACCATTCAGAGTCATTTCCAGAAAATGCTTCTTGTAAAGGATCCTTTTTAGAGCCTAGTGAAGCAGGTCAGGGCATCACCCAAAAATCCCAGGGATGAAGGCTAGACTAGGAATATTTTGAAAGGCAATGACTATAGAGATTCTCAGTCATCCAGGTCATGATTAGCCCAAATGTGCTTTTTCATGAGGCAACTGGACTTTCTTGTTTTTTTCTTTGTTAAACCTCCAAGCTCTTCAATGGCCCTCTAAAAGCATATACATGACAGCTATCCGCAAGGAATATAACTCCTTCCATTCCCCACTATCCTGAAAAAGCTGCTTGGATGAAAAGCGAAAAAACAAGAAAATCCAGTTGCCTCCTAAAAATACACCTTTGGGACAAAGAAAGCAATGGTTAAGCACTTCTACGCTGGTGTCAAAAAAAAATTGTGAAACTAAATTTGTTTCAAGGAGTCCTTATACATTTTTTCAATATACTGTAATACAGAGAGAATTAATCTTTCCCTTCAACTGTGATCATCTTTGAAAATCCAGTGTCTCCAGTTCCTTTGGGACTAGTATATTAATTAGTCCTTTCTACTGGTATCTGTCCATTCCTATGTAGACTCTAAACAGTGTTCAGGAGGAAATTTCTTCCATCTATGGTTAAATACTAATTGGCTCAACAGGTTAAGTGCTAATTTACTGTTTTTTCTCTCAGACTATTCTAGCTTTACATGCACTTGGGGGAAATGAGATTGTATGATTGTATATAAAATCAAGATCACATGAAGTGTTAATACCACTTTATAATGCGTTGGTAAGGCCACACTTGGAATACTGCATTCAGTTTTGGTCACCACAATGTAGAAAAGATGTGGAGACTCTAGAAAGAGTGCAGAAAAGAGCAACAATGATGTTTAGGGCACTGGAAACTAAAACATGAAGAACAGTTGCAGGAACTGGGTATGTCTAGTTTAATGAAAAGAAGGACTAGGGGAGACATGATAGCAGTGTTCCA